GTTACCAGTTCTTTGGTATTAGATATAACATGGTCATTCTTGTTGGATTTTAGCGACAAAAGGTCGTTGAAAGGAAGCGTTGCTTCGGGGCACTGAGAATGATGGAATAACCAGGGGAAATAGTTCCTGAGGATAAGCAGGGTCCTCCCATTGCCTTGATTAGACAACAAGCTAATATTTTGTGCAGTGGTGCTTCTGGGATGGTAGTTCACTGCAGAGCATTCCTTGAAGTTTAAGGTACTCAGTCAATATACATGGTGGGGGTATTGTATTGTTAACACAATAAATAATAATAATACAAGAATAAACTCTGTGTTGTGTACTCACAACTGTAAACATACTTTTGCCCCACCCTGTATTCAGCAAATATTTATTGAATGCCTCTCATGGTAGGTTGTGTTCTAAGTGCTGGGAATGTAACAATGAACAAAACAGAAATCTCTACTCCCATGGAGCCTACAGTCTAGTAGGGGAGGACAGAATTAAACAAATAAACAGATTTACATTCGCTAAAGGTGGAATCCTTTATGAAGAAAAATGAAGTCGAAGATGAGGGATGTGGATACAGGTCAGGAGAAGCTTCTCCAGGAAGTTGGCAGAGACTTGAGGATGTGGGAGAGGAGCAGCGTGGATATCGGAGGAAACTGTCCCGGGTAGAGAGGACAGCCAGTGTAAGGGCTCAGGGCAGAGCATTAAAAGCAGACAAATGTGGCTGGAGGAGAGGGAAGGAAGGGAGAGACGAGAAAACTACCAGGAGGCTGCATCCCAAAGGCTTTGTCTGCCACTGGAAAGACTTTGACTTTATGCTGAAGGAGATGGAGAGTTATTTGAGAGACTTTGAGCAGAGGAGGGACATGATCTAACTTATATATTAATAATAAATCAGGGTGAGCTCCTGGGCCCAGGCAAGAGATTTTGTGGCTGGACCACAGGGGTAGCAGTAGAGGTGGTGAGAACTGGTTAAATAGGAGATACACCCTGAAGCCAGTAGGATTCCAGGATGGAAACAGTGTGGAATATGGGTGAGTAGAGGGGAGACTCAAGGATGACTTCCGAAGGGAAGGATGGACTTGCCGTTAGTCAAGGTGGGGGAAGACTGTAGGGAAGGACAAGACTTTCGATTGTTTGCTTGTTTGTTTGGTGGAGGCTGGATAGTATGATAATATATCCAGTTTGATGGTTAGAGGGGCAAGGGCAGAAGACCACAGGCTTCGCCACCACTCTCTCCTCATAGCTGTACCCTTAGATATTGACCTTGAACTTATAAAGACACCTGCCCACAGCACCAGGACTTGGGCTCAGGCCTGGGCTTTTGTCAGGCAGAGACCCTGAGAAGCAGCCATGAGAATTTTTACAGGCGACTGCCTGTCGGGCTGGGGTGTCCTGCTGGCACAAACCCTCGGGGATAGGTCTTCCTTCCTGGGGTCACTCCTTTTCTCTTCTCTGTCTTAATGTCACCTTGTCGTCGCCATTACCTGCTGGTTCCAGCCAGGGCTTCTTTGTTTCCCTTCTCTAACCACTGAGCAGCCGCATTCGGGCTTCTCTCTTCCTCTCTTGTTCACTGAGCAGCACAGCCCCCTTCAGTGATCACAGAAAGTGCGCCAGTATTGCGGTCGGTTCTTTTCTGCATTCTCCCTGGTCCAATCTGTTTCTTTACCTATTTCAATCCGATAGAGAACTCTGTCTTCACTGGACTGCCCTGATGTGTGTTTACATACAGAAAACAATCAGAATTTGCCTACATTTTATAAAAATGCCCTTGCTGGGAAAAGAGAGTCTAATACCTCTGGGCATTTTGGCATCGAGCTGGGGGGGACCGCAGCGGTGAGGGAGGAAGGCGAGCGGTTGAGGGTTAACCTTCTCTCTTCCTTCCCCTTTTTCAAACTTCCCCTGTTGCCCATTCCCACCTGTTCTGCTCCCAAGACTCTCCTTTCAGCCAGGTGACATGCAGGTGGCCTGCTGGTGCAGGGGCGCATGGGGCACATCAGCGGGAACGGAAGGGTATTTCTGAATTCTGGAGCTCTCGGTGGGCAGTGGGATAATCCCTGCCAGTCTGGAGTCTGGAAAACAACAGGACCCGGTCTGGGTTTTGGAAAGGCAGTCCTGGTATCTATTGGAGATTGAGCACAAGAGGAGAAGCCAGAGGCAGAGAAAGGGGTCAGAGGTGGTTATCATAATTTGTTCAAGAGAAGGTGAAGGCCTCGACGGTCAGGCTTGACCACCAGGGACTGAAGGAAAGCAGAGCTTGAGGAGGAGAAGTGGGAGAGTCTGGTGTCGGAAAAGGCAGAGAGGGCAGGAGGAAGGGAAGGCCACAAGGTGGCCAGGAAGCTGAGCTGTGAGAGGCGCAACAGAAACAGCAGCGCAGGAGGCAAGAGGAGTTCAGTGTAAGTTAAGTGGAGTTCGAAGAACCTGTAAGATTCCCTGCACCTACAGCCACTTTGAAGGCAGGTGGAAAACAGGGTGAGCTCAGGGGAGCTTCCGGAGCTGGAGAGAGACTGGGGAGTCCAGGGCATAAATCGTGGTGATTGAGGTGATAACAGTGGGCTAGGGACTGCGGCGCAGCTCTCGGGAGATCATCACCCTGTCGTTCTTACACATATTTCCTTTAGAAACGTTTTTGCCAAGGCATGTTTTGTGCTGGAAGAATGATGAAAGATAGCTTTGCTTCTGAACAGGGACTAAATTATTTGCCACTAAACCAGCAACTGCTCAGCCATTACTCATGAAATGGCCATTATCAGTCACATACATAAGGGCTTTCCGAGGAATTTTGAGTGTCTTTCAGCAGTTTGTTGGAAAGACAACCATGGCAGACTCTGTGGCAGTGCGAAATACGACATCCCCTTAGCCAATCCTTCCGGTGTCTGCTGGGGTCTGAGAGACACGAGACAGCATGTCCAGCCCACGCCTCACTACAGGCCCAGGCAGGGCGTCGAAGCCATTGCTGTGTGTCTGGGGCGCGTGGCGCTTCATTTCCTGTCAGGTCTGTTCAGTCACCTCCGCTTAATCATATAAATTCGGTTTTGGTGGCTTAGGTTATAAAGGGTTGCAAATCTCTTCTTAGTGTAACTTCATGTATAGGGAAACCTTGTCCATAGATCATTTTAATAATAAAGCTTATTGTTTGAAATACTCATTATCAAGGCAACTTGCTTTTGGAGGAATACGGTAAATTCCACTGTTTATTTCCCACTGGTTTTATCAGGCAGGATATTAGCTAATGTTTCAAACACTTTGCTACACAAGTAATTAAGCCGTTTGACAACATCTGCACTGCTTCATACCTGTATCGTGCAGTTCTTACAGAAGAAGTAGTTTGTAACTCACTGCTCTGATTGAAAGGGTATGGCTTTTTTTTTTTTTTTCCATAAGAAGGTTTAATAACTTATAAAGGAAGCCAGCATCAGAATTGATCTGACTGGCTTTTCTGTCCTTAGCTCCCCTTGAGCTCGGAGACGCTCCTGCCCACCAGTGAGTGCTCCAGCTGACCTGCGGCAGTTACCGAGGTTGAAATCAATCGCTGGGCGGCCATTCTGATAAGGCCGCTCTGCGGGTCAGTTACCGCCACCCACTCCGATTCCACAGAAGGTGCTGAAAGGGATTGCTTGGGAGCAGTTTTATATATTCAGTTGGCATTAGTTAATTTTTTTCTTTAGCCAAACCAGGGAAAAGGATGCAGTTTTTAAAGACTTGTTTTATTTTATATGTCAGTATGTGTGTGCATCTGTGCAGTGAAAATTTTTTCATGAATTAGATTGGGAAGGTGATTTTCCTAAGCAAACAATCTGATCTTATTCTGTGTAATATGTTATATGCTTCTTTAGTTATTTAACATATGCATAATTTTTTTGGCTTTTCCACTGGGCTGTGTCTCTTAAAAAAGAATAAAGGGCTTCTTCTGCTGTTGCTTTCCATATAAATCCTATCATAGCATTAGATCTATAATAGACCCTTTTATAATACATCTGTTTTGGATGAAACTCAAATGTGGTGGAAAATTCATGATTCATATTTTCAAAATCTGGATTTCATTTAGACTGGAGGGTATTTTAGTACTTAACCCATCACGTAGTCACATCTACTTGTGCTTTGCGCATGCCCATATTTGTAAATCTAGTATGCCAGAATTGTTCCATGAAATCACTTGGAGAACCACACTCCATCTTCAGGGTTTAATTGGTGTTTTGTAAAGAGTTTCTTGCTAACTGCTTTTGAAGAAACAGTTGGGCTGCAACAGAGCTGTGTTCCTGTGGCACTGTTGACACCATGCTATTTGCTTGGGTATTTTCACTAATGTATGAAAGGGACTCCCCTCCAAAAGATGGAATTTTCTTCTGGAGGGTGGGTCCCTTGTAGTATAGGCTTCCCCTGCTAGGTGATTATTCCAGGAACCCATCTGTATCTGTACCAGCTGGCATTATTGTGAGAGGCTGTGTTTAGCTTCAGTGAATTTTTTTGGAAGACTTTTTCAACTCGTTTGCCCATTTCATGATGGGCGATTTACGAGTGCACCTGCCCACACTGTGCTGAGTGTTCAGCAGGTTTTGACCAAAACTGGCGTGACCCTGTGTGTCCCCCCCTTCACTTGAACTTGCCCTGAGCAACTTTTATGTTTGTTTCCCTGGATGAAAAAAGTTCTCAAAGTGAAACGGCTTGCTGATGTGGAAAAGGTGAAAATAACAGCAGAAGCACTAAAAGGCACCAAAATCAATGAGTTCAAAAACTGTTTTGAGTAGTGGAAAAAAGGTCTCAATAGGTGTATTGCATCAAATGGAGAGCTCTTTGAAGGTGACTGAAGTTTAAACATGTAAGAATAAGTACATAATCTTTTATAAATTCCTGTTTTTTGGGGTCCCCCCTCTTATTTCACAATATTAATTTTAAAAAAGTATTAAATTGTAATGTATTAAAGAATGGGGAATGCCATGTATTCCCCATAACTTGACAGATAAATTTGAGCAACCAAAGCTGAAGGCTCATTCATTCTTTGTTTTTCAAAGGTCTCATCAGAAAATTGAAGACTCGGAAGAAAGCAGTGATGAAATTCTTGCTCGTCTAACGTCTGCGGTAAGGCCATGCAATTTCCCTTCTTAGCGGTGCAGAAACAGTGAATCCAGGGTTTTGAAGGGAGGCATTTGGGTAAAGATGTGGAGACACTTGCCCTGTGGCTGCTTATCATTGTGGGAGGCCCAAGTCAAGGCAAAAGGAAACAATGGCGTTGACTTGCTGTACTTGCTGCAGCCTCTCCTGAGAGATCATAGATATACCTGGTGGGAAGTTCCTAGAACCTTAATGGCAGTGTAATATCTGAGGTTTAAAAATCTGAAGGAGGTGTAAAATCTAATGGAGGTGTAAAATCTGATGTTTAAACTGCAGTATGACTTAGGTAAGGTAAAGTTGTGACCTGCTGCATGAAGAATAAAAGACTGTATGTTTCATTACTCCTGGGAGAGAAAAAAAAAAAGAATTACCACAGCCAACAAACAGCCAGGTTGTTGGCTTTTAATGTACCAGGTTGCAGTATCTTCATGGTGTTTTTCAAAGCCGTGAGTCAGAATTGGCAATTGCCTTCTTGGTTGAAGAAATGCTTATGCCCAGCCTCGTAGACAAAGCCGGCTACGGTCGCTCATCATGGACCTTCACTTTTGAGGCTCAAACAGTCCTTCACACAAAATCCTTATCCAGTGGCTTGGCTCTCTGGGGGCTTTTCTAGCCTTCCCAACAATTCTTTAATTCTGCTTTAACTGTGTTATTGAAATGGTAAATGCTGAGAACCATGCTGGATTGGGTTATGTATGTGGATGAAACTGATTTTATACAGTTTTACAGACCAGTTTGGCATCTGGGCACAGCTTCAAAGTTAAAAATTGCCTTTCCTATTTTTCTTAAAAATAGCATAGAAAAGTAATTTTTGATTAAATACAGTGATTGGTGGTATAAAACTTCATGTGAAATAGAATCTTGACAGTGTGTTAAGAAAAACTGTTTAGCATGACCTTTGTAGCTTATTTTTGTTTATTTATTTTTATTGAAGTATAATTGACATACATCATTATTTTAGCTTCAACATAATGATTCAATATTTGTATATATTGTAAAATGATCACCACACCAACCGTAGTTAACATCTGTCACCATACGTAGTTACAGAATTTTTTTCTTGTGATATGAACTTCTTTTCTTTTTTAACGTATTTTATTTATTTATTTTTAGAGACGGGGGAAGGGAGGGAGAAAGAGAGGGAGAGAAACATCAATGTGTGGTTGCCTCTTGCAGGCCCCCAACTGGGGACCTGGCCCGCAACCCAGGCATGTGCCCTGACTGGGAATCAAACCAGTGGCCCTTTGGTTCACTCAACCCACTGAGCCACACCAGCTTGGGTGTGAACTTCTAAGATCTCCTCTCCAGGCAACTTTCTGATATGCAATGTAGTATCATTAACTGAAGTTACCATGTGCCACATCACATCCCATGCCTTATTTATTTTTATAACTGGAAGTTTGTACCCTTGGCTCCCTTCACCCATTTTGCCCACCCTTCACCCCACCGCTGAATAATATTCCATTTTCTTTATCCATTCATCTGTCATTGGACACTTAGGAGTGCAGATATCTTTTCTAGTTAGTCTTTTCCTTTTCTTGGATAAATTTTTTAGGTGTACAATTACTGGTTCATATGGTGGGTTTATTTTTAATTTTTTGAGGTACCTCCATACTTTTATCTATAGTGGTTGCACCAATTTACATTCCTACCAACAGTACACAAAGTCTCCCTTTTTTCCACATCCTTTCCAACACTTATTATTTCTTGTCTTTTTAATAATAGCCATTCTAACAAGATGTGCAATAAAAATTCATTATGCTGTTGATGTGCATTCCCCTGATGATGAATGATGTTGAGCATCTTCACATACCCATTAGTCATCTGTATATCCTCTTTGGAGAAATGTCTATTTAGATCCTCTGTCCATTTAAAAAAAATTTTTTTTTAACCCTCACTGGAGGACATGCTTATTCATTTTAGAGAGATAGAGAGGAAGAATGGGAAATAGAGAGGGAGAGAAACATCAATGTGAGAGAGAAACATTGGTTACCTCTTGAACACGTCTCAGCCAGGAACCAATCCCACAACCTAGCCATGTGCCCTGACCAGGAATCAAACCCACGACCCTTCAGTTTATGAGCCAGTGCTCCAACCAACTAAGCCACATGGGCCAGGGCTCTGCCCATTTTTAGATTGTATTTTTTTTTGTTTGTTTTGTTTTTGTATTGAGTTGTATGAATTCTTTATATATTTTGGATATTAACCCTTTTCACATATATAGTTTGCAAATACTTTTTCTTATTAGTAGATTGCCATTTTCATTTTGTTGGTGGTTTTCTTTGCTCTTCAGAGGCTTTTGAGTTTGATGTAGTCCCACTTAACTGATTTTTTGTTTTGGTTTCATTTGCTTTGGTTTTAGATTAAAAAAAAGTCATCAAGACTGATGTAAATGAGGTTATTTTTTATGGTTTAATCTAGGATTTTTATGGTTTCAGATCTTACATTGAAGTCTTTAATCCATTTTGAGTTAATTTTTGTGTATGGTTTAAGGTAGTGATCCAGTTTCATTCTTTCATATGGCTGTTCAGTTATCTCAACACCATTTACTGAAGAGATTGTCTTTCCTATGTTGTATGTTCTTGGCTCCTTTGTCATACATTAATTGACCATATAGGCATGAGTTTATTTTGGGGCTCTATTCTGTTCCATTGATGTATGTGTCTATTGTTATGCCAATACCATACTGTTTTAATTACTATCATTTTATATTATAGTTTGAAACCAAAAAGTGTGATGCCTCCAGCTTTGTTCTTCTTTCTCAATATTTCTATTGAGAATACTATGGCTATTGCGGGGGGGGATCTTTTGTGGTTCCATATGAATTTTAGTATTGTTTGTCCTATTTATGTAGAAAATGCTACTAGAATTTTGATAGGGACTACCTTGAATCTGCAGATCATGCAGTTTAAAATATTGACCAAAGATGAGTCCCTAGTGTGTGCAAAATCCTTAAAAAGGCACTCACCATGGACCAGACACTATGATGAACATTGTATATGTGTACATACACATTCTGTTAAACTTCACAATAGCCCTATGAAATAGGAGGCATTATCTCTGTTTTATAGACATCAAAGCTTGTGGAGGTTAAGTAATTTGCCCAAGCTCACCCATCTATAATAGAATAGAACAAAGCCAGGATCTATAGACAGAATTTTCTACTTCCTAATCATGTACTCTTAACTACTATGGTTCATTTTTTCATAATGTAATATAGTTATTGAGATATTTTTCAGGAGCAGCAAAGACATATAAGATATAGTTCCTATACTCTTATCAGGAAGACAAGTACATTTTGAAAGTTAATATATAACGTGATTGGCAATTGGGCACCAGAAATTGTGGTTCATAGGTAGTAAATTCAAGGACAGTAACAGAAAGTTGCATTGAAGGGACTGGACTTGAATCACCATTGAAGGCAGTCAGGCTTTGAACAGGTGACGATGAGGAGGAAGTGTGCTCTAGCCGTGGGGTTTATTGTGTGCAGGCAGAGGAATGAGAAAGTACAGTCGAAAAATAGCATGTAGACCCACCCGAGTAGAGAGGGTCATAGCTAAGAAAAGTGATGAAGTAGACCTTGAAGGAAGGTGATGGTGGAAGGTGAGGGGACCGGTTGAAAGGTTGATGAAAACCTAGTGTAGTGAGTGGTTCCTGTGGGAACCAAAACAAAACAGTTCAAAGAGGAGCACAAAGAATTTTTTAAAAAATCAATAGAACCGGGTATAAAGGTAAAGGAGGAGTCAGAGGACTGAAGTTCGGAACTTGCATGAGTGGGAAAGTGATGATCCTCATAGGAAGTTGAGCAAAATATGTGAAAGGAGAGATGATATATTTTTGGACATACTGAATTTGAGGAGGGAAGAACATAAAAGTATTTGGGAAACGCCGGGAGACGTGAATCTGGAGCTCAGAGAGGTCCGCGCTGAAGTACCGGGAGTCAGTTACGGAGAGGCTGTCCATTGAAACGCAGAGCGGAGGGCGAGGCCTTGGGTGAGAGGGCAGTGGGGAGGAGAAAGACAGGGGAAGTGGAAATAACTTCTCTCAAGAAAGTCAAATTCAAGAAAGCCTCTACAAAAAAAAAGTGGCAGGGCATGGATAGCAAAGTGTTTGCTATGTGTTTGGTTGAGGTCATCCTCCTGGAAAAAATCTTGAAGTTTTTAGACTGAAATAACTGAGGTAAGGTGCTGGAGTAGTGGTGTTTATGCATGAGAATAAACAGCAGAGGAGAAAATTTCATCTCTTCAGTTGGCCCCGAATAGTGAAAAAATCATTAAAGAGAGATTGAGGACCTTGATTCTTAATTCTTCCAGCAGTGTGACCTTGGTCAAATTGAGTGGTTAGACTAGACAGTACCGAAGTTCTAAGATTTCTGCAACCATTGCATAAGCATTTATTGAGGGACTGTTGAGCTTCGGTCTTCCTGATGTAATTGTTCCCATTGATAGCGGGATAAAAACTTTGTAACCTAGGTGTTCGCACCATGCTGGAAGGAAAATAGTTCCATAGCTCACTCAAGTTAACGATTCTCATCTCCCATGACCCAAATGCATTCATTGAAGGAAAGCAAAATGTCACCTGCGATGCAGAGTTGCTAGGGTGCTCTGCAAGGGCTGGCTGGTCTGGGGGCACTGGCATGGGGCAGCAGCGATGCCGTGCACTGCACTTGTCTTGTACATTCATCTCTTTTTATTCAAACTTGGAAGTTTTGTAGGTGGCTGTCTTAAAAACAAAAACAAAAACAACTCATTTCTTTAACCCCGATAGTTTATTTCTAAGTCCCAGGTTAGGTTCATCAAGGGAAACATCCTGTCATCTAAAAAACAGTAATTCCTGAAATTCTACCCTGGGAGAAAACACAAGTCAGTTTTCATAGGAAAGGAACATGGAAAGATAGTGCATGTGTAGAAATAAAAAAATGTCTTTATAATTGAGTCAGATTTGCAGTTGTTGAATTTATACAAACA